TAGAAAATTATAATAAGATGATAGATTCAAGCACAAATATACCAGCAACTACATTAAGTGAAAGGAAATAAAATACTCCAAAAATTGTTAGACTAGTTTGTTTGTTTTTTTAAGCCAACAACAAGCTCCTTAAAAGAGATAGACTTAATGGTGGGGCGCAGTGGCTCACACCTATAATCCCAGCTACTTGGGAAGCCAAGTCAGGAGAATCACTTGAACCTGGGAGGCCAAGGTCACAGTGAGCTGAGGTTGCACCACTGCACTCCAGTCTGGGCAACAGAGTGAGACTCTGTCTCGAAAAAGAGAAAAAAAAAGATATAGACTTATATATAAGGATATAGGCAGTAAAAGGCTAGGAAAAGATCGACTTGGAAACACCTACTGAAAGAATTGTTATAACTAGCAACTATACTAATACCAGACAAAGTAAACTATTTTTTTAAATTGTACTCTAGGTCCTGCGGTACATGTACAGATCATGCGGGATTGTTGCATAGGTACATACATGGCAAGGTGGTTTGCTACCTCCATCCCCCTGTCACCTATATCTGGCATTTCTCCCCATATTATCTCTCCCCAACCTTCCCACCCGCTGCTGTCCCTCCCCCATTCCCCCACAACAGACCCCAGTGTGTGATGCTTCCCTCCTTGTGTCCATGTGTTCTCAATGTTCAACACCCACCTATGAGTGAGAACATGCGGTCTTTGACTTTCTGTTCTGTGTCAGTTTGCTGAGAATGATGGTTCCCAGATTCATCCATGTCCCTACAAAGGATATGAACTCATCATTTCTTATGGCTGCATAGTATTCCACGGTGTATATGTGCCACATTTTCCTTGTCCAGTGTATCATCAATGGGCATTTGGGTTGATTCCAGGTTTTTGCTATTGTAAACAGTGCCGCAATGAACATGCATGCACATGCAGACAAAGTAAACTTTAAGGCTGAATATTACTGAGATAAAGAGAGAGAAATGAGTTTCTTTGACAGAAAGATAAAACAAGCTAAAATTTTTTTCTACCTAATAACATAACATTAAAATTCATTAAGTGAAAACTGACAGAGCTAAGAGGAGAGAAAGACACAAATCCACAATTGGTGTGTGTGGGAGTTTTTTGTTTTTGTTTTTAATTGAGACAGAGCCTCACTCTGTCACCTAGGCTGGAGTCCAGTGCTCTGATTATGGCTCACTGCAACCTCTGCTGCCCAGGTTCCAATGATTCTCATGCCTCAGCCTCCCAAGTAGCTGGGACTATAGGCACATGCCACTAGCCTGGCTAAGTTTTTTTTTTTTTTTTTTTTAATAGAGATGGGGTTTCGCCATGTTGGCTAGGCTGGTCTCAAACTCCTAACCTTAGGTGATCTGCCCATCTCAGCCTCTCAAAGTGCTGGGATTACAGGTGTGAGCCACCATGCCCTGCTGATGAGGGAGATTTTAACACAACTTCCTTTGTGAATTGGTGCTTGAACATAACTGGATTGGCCCAGTAGCAGGGGAAAATAGTGAATTTAAAGACAGAACAATACAAAGTACTCAATCTGAACAACAGAGAGAAAATAGACTGAAAAGAAATGAATAATAATGTGGAACAATAATGAAAGATCTAATATTCATAACATTGGAGTACTAAGCATTCTATAGTACTTTTTTATGTTAAAGTACTAATTATTGTCTCACAATTCGAGAGGCTCTGAGATCCAGGTATCAGCAGGGTGGCTTCCCTCTGAGGCTGTGAGGGAGACTCTTCGGGGCCCTTCTCCTCACTTCTGCTGTTTGCTGAAATCTCTGGCAGCCTTGGCTTTGGCTGTATCACCTCAGTCCCTGACCTCATCTCCACGTGGTGCTCTCCCCATGTGTGTATCTGAATTTCTCCTTTTGTAACCAATTATATTGGATCAGGAGCCCACCCTACTCTAGTGTGACCTCACCTTAACTGATTATATCTGTAATGACCATATTTCCAAATAAAGTCACATTCTGGAGAGCTGGGCATTAGGACTTTAACATAGGGGGACACATTCAACCCATAACAGCAACTAATGTGACTAAGAGACAAAAATTACTAATGATATAACAGATTTGAACAATACAGTTAACTAACTTGACCAAAAATTGACATGTACAGAAGAACATGTACCTAATAACAGCAGAATACATATTTTTTTCTTGAGTACATTGAATATATTACCCCAAATAGTCCATATATATGCAAGGGCATGGAGCAAGCCCTAATACACTTCATGAATTGAAGAAAGATAAAGATACTCTCTAATCACCATGAAGTAAATTAAAAATCAATTATCAAGTGTTTAAAATGTAAGCATTACCCTTTTTTCTGATTTTCAATAACTTTTTTCTCATGGAAAATTTTAAACATGCAGAAATCAGCAGAAAAATATAATGAACTCTCTCATGAGTTCGACATCCAATGTCAATAATGATGAACTTTTGGACAATTACATTTCATCTATACCCTCACCCACTCTATTCATCTATATTGTTTTGGAGCAAATTCCAAACATCATTGCATTTTATCTGAAGCAAAACACTTGCCTATTCCATGGGTCAAAAGCTAAATCAAAATGAAAATTAGAAAATATTTTTAACTGAGTGGTAACAAAAATATGTATGTCAAAACTAGTAAGATGGCTGGTTCCAGCCAAGATGGATTAGTCCCATTGCTCCCTGGTCCTCACTCCTACAGTGGAAAAACCCTGGACATAATGCAACAAACAGACAAAGGAAGACTGAAAGAAAAAAAGAAAGCATGCTGGCTAGGGATTCCAGGACATGATAAATGACACGGCTGTGGGATCCCGGGGTTTTCTTTTTGCCTCCTATATATACAGGAGAAGTAAACAACATGGAACCATCCATCCATAGGCGCAGACTAGAAAAGAAACCTGTTCTCTGTAATCAAGGGATAAGGAAAAGGGTGGTCTAGCAGAATAGAAAACTTTTTTGATAATATCCACCTACTCTAGCCAGACATAAAAGACAAAACCATCCTCCCCTCATGGTGTTGGCTGGGTGCCAAGCTACACTTAGAGACAGTCCATCCAGCATTAGTAAGGCAGGCTGATTAAGCCCTCCACGTCACCCATGGGGGTTGGATTAGTGGAACCAAATGGGGAGCAACACTTTCATCTCTACCTGGAAATACGCAGGTGGAAGGAGGCAGTGTGCAGTGGAGCATGTTAGCACTTCACCTTCCTTACGCAGGTGGTATCAGCTTCTGTCAGCACAACTCAGTGGAAAGCTGAACTTCTCTACCCACAGCTAGCAGCAATGAAACTCAACCAGCACTCTCCTTAACCCCCTCTTCCCACAACTGACCAACTTCTCCCACAACACAGCACCAGCAGGGCCTAACAGGAGGCGGGGCATCCACCCCCACCTGAACCTGCAAGCTCTGCGAGAACAGGGTGACTGTCCACAAAAGAAGATTAAATGAGGTCTACAGCCTCGTAACAGTATCTAAAATGTCCTGGACACAACTGAGAATCACATATTATACCAAGAACCCAAGAAATCTCAACCTGAATAAGAAAAAAGAATCAACAGACACCAATACCATGATGACACCGTTGTTGAAATTATCTGACAAAGAATTTAAAGCAGCATTATGAAAAGGCTTTAAACATACTATTGCACACAGGCTTGAAACAAGTGAAAAACTAGAATGCCTCAGTAAAGAAATAGAAGATTTGGAAAAAAAACTAGATGGAAATTTTAGAATGGAAAAAATACAATACTCAAATTTAAAAACTCACTGGATTGGCCCAGTAGCAGAATAACTATGACAGAGAAAATAGTGAACTTAAAGACAGAACAATACAAAGTACTCAATCTGAACAACAGAAATAGACTGAAAAGAAATGAATAAAAAGGTGGAACAGTAATGAAATATATAATATTTGTATCATTGGAGTCCCTGAGAGGAGAAACTGTGGGACTAAAGTATTCAAAGAAGTAATGGTTTAAAAAGAAAACTTCTCAAACTTATTTGAAGACATAAAATGTCAAGAATCTAAGCAATCCTCAGATTAAACAAGTCTGATTTCAAAAAACAGAGAGGAACAGATTACAAACACCAAAAGCAAAAAAGGTTATATCACTATAGATCCTACAGACGTTAAAGAGATAAAAGGATATTATGAACACTCTCATTATACAAATAAATTTGAAAAGTTAGGTGACAATTTCCTAGAAAGATATCACTTACCAAAACTACCAGCAGGACAAAGAAAAAACCTTAATACTTCTATGTCTATTAAATAAATTAATCCATCATTGAAAAACCTTTCACTAAAAAACTCTTAAGTGCTCATGGCTCAATTCAGTGGTTCTGGAGTGGAGCTGAGAATTTGCATTTCTGACAAGTTCCCAGGTGATGCTAATACTACTGGCTTAAGTACCATACTTGTAAACGTTACATAAGCTACTTTTCTAAAATTACAGCTCAAAAAGTATGTACATTTTAGAGTTTGACAATGGCATATTTGTGTTCTTTACAAATGGTCTTTTAGTTATTTATATAGAAGAGCTCTTTGATATATTAAATGTCTTAACTCTTTGCCAAAGACATTACAGATATTTTCCCCCATGTGTCAGATATCTTTCAAACTTATCTGTATATTTCATCTTCTAAAATTTTAAATTATTATGTAATCAGGAGAGAAGAGAAGTTATAAGTAAAGCAAGGTTAGCCGTAGGTTTTGGTTTTCAGAGATGGTAATAGGGATGTGGGAGTTCACTGTACTTTGCTCTCTACTTTTTTGTATGTTTGAAATTTTCCATAATAAAATTGTTTCAGACACTCTGGTTTATTAGTATTAGAGTTTAAATGTGTTATCTAAAATATTTGTTATAGGAGTTTTGAAGGAAAACAAAATGATGGTGTATATATTTACAGAATCCTGGATATACTCATCACAAAAAGTCATATCACAAAATTTTTTTGCCGTATTGATTGCATATTTTTGTGTTTGTTTAAAGTGCTTGAAGCACTTAACATGGAAAAAATGATGTCAGCCATTTCCTCCTGGAAGGAAAACGCAAGATGCTCTGTGGTATCAACAGACTGGGAAAGTGCTGAGGAAATTGCCATTTTGATCATCGAAGGTTTTCTTCTTTTTAATTATAAGTAAGTATCTCCACCCTAATATTGACTCTGAATGAATGGGGGGAAAAAAACTTTGTGAACTAAGTATGCTGTTATTCTAGGCCTCTTGACACTATGTGGAATAGAAGCTATTTCCTGACTGTTCCATATGAAGAATGTAAAAGGCGGAGGAGGTAAGTTTTGAAATAATCTTTGTGAGTTGTAATTCAAAACAAAAAATATTAGAAGAAAAACGAGGACAGCAACATTATTGAGCAGTGTGTATAGGTCATTTTTCAGAGGCAAGAAGCTTTAACTCTTTTACAGATGGAGCAGGACCATTTCCCATAAATGGTCATCCACTTGGAGTAAGCCTTATATCAAGGCTTTGGCTCATTTCTCCTAAGTTCTCAAACAAAGCAAACCTGTGGTGATTATGATTTTAGTGTGAGTGTGCCTGTTCTGCTACAGCTACAAAGAACACCAGTTAGTTCAAAGCTTAATCCAACACAGTGGTCTCTCCATTGTTATTTACACTATTTGTCTCTTAATTCTCTTATAAAGCACTAGAAGGAAAAAGATAAGAATGATAGGAGGATTACAAAGTTAATTTTAGGATCAGAGAACTAAATCCATGTTGCTGTCTTTTTAACTGCGATTGAGTTAAGATATGTAACACATGTCCTAATCCTGTTTAGATTCAACCTGTTAGTGATTTGCCCATATTCCTTGCCATTAATATTTTACTTTATCAATTGTGGGTTTCTGTCAACATTAAGTTTCCTATGTGTTTTGATAGTACAAGGGTCTATGAGCCTCCAGACTCTCCAGGATACTTTGATGGCCATGTGTGGCCCATGTATCTAAAGCACAGACAAGAAATGCAGGATATCACCTGGGAAGTTGGTAAGTGCCTTTTCTGCCTCCATTCAAGGCCTTTTACTTGTCATTTGCCTCAAAGTATAGCAAAGAAAGGACTTAGAGAAAAGAATAAAGGAGCACTTAAGCAAGAACACTCTGGGCTTCTCCTCTTTCATAGCTGGTTCTCCTGGTTTCTGTTTCTCTCTGTGGCTCTTGTCAACTTCTGGATAGTTATTCATTCAACCAGTATTGAATGAATGCCTTCCAGTGCTTCTCTGTAGATGGTGAGGGGCATAAGGCAGACCCAGCCCCTGCTGTCATGCAGGTGACATTCTGTCGTGGAAACAGGTGCTGTAGACACCAGCTGACCAAGCCTGTCCTTTCCAGCTGCTGTAAGTTCTGTGACACCAAGCTCTAGGGGACTTCCCAGATCCCAGGGGTCAGGGAAGGCTTCCTTCAAGAAGTCACATTTAATCAAACTTCAGTGAGTTTAACTGAACAAAGGAGATGAGTTAGGGAGATAGAATATCACTCCAGAAAGTGGGAAAGGTGCAGGGGACAGGAAGGAATGAGAAGCCCCTGATAAAAAGTTGGTGTTAAGAAAGCTTTCTGGTAAAGAAAACCAAGGGATAGGATTGATGCTGGTGATACAGGCAGGGTCCAGACCCTATAAGGCCGGTAGTCTAGGTGAGGACTTTGGTCATTATCCTCAGAGAAGTGGGGAACTCTCTATAGAGAAGTTTTAAACAAGAACGTGATTGATACAGATTCTTGTTTTAGTTAAGACCCCTCTAGCTGCGTGGAGGACGGAGGAGGTTAGATTTATAGTGTGTGATATTAGACGCCTGCACTTGGTAGAACTGGGTGATAGAACAGATAGCGAGGGGGTGGAAAGATGACAGAAGCCTCAGCAACTGACGAATGTTAGAAAAAAGTGAAGGCATTGCAGACCTGTAAGGGAGTAATGCATGTCTGTTTTGCATATAATGAGGTTGAGGTGCCTGGGAGACATATGTAGCAGTTTGGAGATAAGCATCTGGATCTGTGGGCCTGAGCTAAGAACAGATCACTGGAATAGAAAACTCTATGCAGAGAAGATGGCAGAAGACTGTTGGATAAGGCAAAGGAGTTAGAATTGATGTATGCTTTTCACAATAAAGGGGACTTGTCCATGTTGTGAGAAGCCTGTTGGCCTCCAGGATGGGTAGCTATGTCAGAGCCGGGTGGAATGCACATGGAGTTTATTCCCCAGGGCTGAAGCTGAGATTCTGGCTGGACCACCTCCAACTTGGACCATTGGTTACAAGAACATCCTCTTCCCTTTTCTCCCTTTTACCTAAAATGCAAATCTAATCAGGTGCCTGCCCTGCTTGAATACTTCCAGTCATCTCCAGATTTTTTGGATAAAATCCAAACAGCCAGACATTAAGGCATCTAATGACTGAGGTGCTGAGGTACAGTCTTGCTCTAAAATCTCATCTCACACTGTTCCCAAAGTTTCCCCATATTCTACCATTTCAAATGGTGCATCAGTGCTCTTGCCTCTTCCTACCCATGCTGTTTTCTGACCAGAAGGCCCTTTGCTTCCTTTAACCTAGACAACTTCTGCTTTTTCTCCAAAGCTGCTTATGCCAGTTTTATTAAAAATACATATTTTCTCTGATAGCTGAAAACACACATACAAACACACATAACACAAAATACATATTTTCTGAGCCTGGTGAATTCCGAGTTAGTACACGTGTTGCAGATCCCTGACCACTGCATGGTTTAGAAGCTTCCCAGGTGATCCTCATGAATAAGTATGTTGAAGAATTACTCTTCAAGTGACACCTTCAGTGCTCCTAAAGTGCCATATGCCCAATACCCTTTCTTTCTTCTGTTTCTTCCCCTTCTTTCCTTCTCTTCTCTTTTATTTAAATAATTTTCACATAAGCCAGTGTGGATTTATCTGTAACAATCAAAATTTTAGACTTATTATACCTGGCTAGCATCTATTTCTTTCTTTAATCACTATTAATTTCCTTTTAAGTTATGGTCCTGGGTGCTTTGGTTAAACCTACTGGCATTTACAAGAGATGTCAGGTGCCAAAGTAAACATTATATATTAATAAGCCTTTTAGCATTTGAACTGCTCTCTTTTCCCCTTGCAGTTTACTTAGATGGAACAAAATCTAAAGAGGACCTCTTTCTGCAAGTATATGAAGATCTCATACAACAACTAGCAAAGCAAAAGTGTAAGTATTATGCTAACAAAGTGGATGGTAGAGGAGAAACAACCAGGGAAATCATTCAATACTTATGAAAGAATGGAATACCAGAATGCTAATGTAGGAGTGATCATGTTCATTCATTCTTTGCTTTGAGGATAATTCAGAATCAGAAATTCTGGGAGGGTAGTTGGAGACTCAGTTATTATATCTCTCTGTTTTTAGGGGTGAAACCATTTCCCCTTTGTTACATCTCTTAATGATATTTATGTGATTTTCTTTAAAATTTTTAGAGATGGCTTTCTCAAATGGGACTGAAAGTATCTTTTGGGCAGAGTGTAATTAAAATGCTGATGAATTTGTTTTAGTATGTCCAGAGCTCCCCTATTCCTTTATTCCCTTAAAGACATTCCATAAAATTTCTACTTTCCAAATGCCCAAAAATAAACAAAAGATTTTTTAAAGTATTATGAAGTGTTTATTTAAGCTTAGCACTTTTTGCAAGTGACAGAAATCTGCCTTAAATATGGCTTCAGCAGAACAGGGGTTCTTCAGTGGAACAGGGATACTTCAACAGTACAGGGGTTATTATGGCTTCAGGCTCAGCTGTATTAACCCATTTATGCCTAGTGTTCCATTGTTGGAACGCTAAGCCTGTGGGAGTTATTTATATCTTACTGCTTAAGGTCATCACCAAGGTCTGGTTTTTCACCAAAAAATTTACAACCTCCAGCATAAATGGGTTAAGGAACTCAAATAGGGTCTTCAGGACCCTGCTTCTATTCTACCTCTATTTAGGGTTTATTTTGAAGTCAGGCTCTCCACTGACATGGTGTCTGTTGACAAAAACATCCTCCTAGGTCCATCAGTCCCAGTATAAAAAGATAGCCTTTTTCAAGATTTGACCATGAGTTGATAAATGTTGGAGCTAGGTGTTGAGTACAAGGAGGTTCATATTTTTTCCATTTCTTTTGTATAAGTTTGAAATTCTTTAAATAGGTTTTTAAAAAACAATATTCTATTGTACCCCAGATTAAAAGCCCAGATGATTGGTCCTGCTGGACCACATGACTTGCAAGACCAATCACTATGGCCAGGGAGATGGCATACTCTTATTGGCCGTGCCTAGATCTCATACCCCATCTTGTAATTGAATACCCCATCTAAGATTCTTTTATTTTAAAAATTTCCCTGGCCAGATGCAGTGGCTCACATTTGTAATCCCAGCACTTTGGGAGGCCAAATTAGGAGGATCACTTGAGGTCAGGAGTTTGAGACCAGCCTCAGCAATGTAGTGATACTCCATTTCTACCAAAATTAAAAACTTTTTTAAAATTATCTGGTCATGTCAGCATACACCTATAATCTCAGCAACTCAGGATATTGAGGTGGGAAGGTTGCTTGAGCCCAGAAGATCAAGGCTGCAGTGAGCCATGATTGTGCCATTGCACTCCAGCTTGGGAGACAGACAACCCTATCTCTAAAAGTTAAAAAATAAAAAAAATTCTCACAGAGAAAGCAGGGCAGGAGGTAGAAACTAGAAGAAGTTCTAAAAAACATGCTGGAAGGACAAAAGTGTAGATCTAGCGGTTGTTATATTTGAACTATTTGAATTAAAAGGATTTCCAGCCAGGTGCAGTGGCTCATGCCTGTAATCCCACACTCTGGGAGGCTGAGACTTGCAGATCACCTGAGGTCAGGAGTTCGAGATCAGCCTGCCCAACCTGGAGAAACCCCGTCTCTACTAACAATACAAAGTTAGCCAGGTGTGGTGGTAAAAGCCTGTAATCCCAGCTACTCGGGAGGCGAAAGCAGGAGAATCACTTGAACCTGGGAGATAAGAGTTTGCAGTGAGCCGAGATTGTGCCATTGCACTCCAGCCTGGGCAACAAGAGTGAAACTCCATTTAAAAAAAAAAAAGGATTTCTTTGGCTAACACTGGCAAAATGCAATCATCAACTAGCTCAGAGAAGACAGTATGACTCACTCCAGCAGTGAAGAATATTATATATATATATGTATATATTTTTTAGTGAGAAGCAACTGCCCTAGTCCAAATGTAGTCCTTCCTCAATAAGAATTAGATTTCCTATGTCCTCAATAAATTCCTCTTTGACTAGGAGACTGAGCCCAACTAGGCAGCTCATTCATCCTAAGCACTGTTGATTTCAGGAATCAGCCCATTATATAGGCATGAACCCATTTGAAGGAATTTCAGGACCTTTTATTTTATTTTATTTTATTTTATTTTATTTTATTTTATTTTATTTTATTTTATTTTATTTTATTTTATTGAGATGAAGTCTCACTCTGTCACCCAGGCTGGATTACAATGGTGCAGTCTTGGCTCACTGGAACCTCCACCTTCCTGGTTCAAGCGATTCTCCTGCCTCAGCCTCCTGAGTAGCTGGGATTACAAGTGCCTGCCTTCATGCCCAGCTAATTTTTGGATTTTTAGTAGAAATGGGGTTTTACCATGTTGGCCAAACTCATCTGGAACTCCTGACCTCGTGATCCACCTGCCTCGGTCTTCCGAAGTGCTGAGATTACAGGTGTGAGCCACCACACCCAGCCAGGACCATTTTAAATTTTCTTCTTGCATGTTGAATTTAGAATCCTTGCCAGATATGCTCGCCCACCCCTGCCATCTTTTACTTTGATGAAAGTCAAGCCTCCCATAATGAACCTCAGAGCAGCAACATGAGTAGATATAGAGGATGTGGGATGAAGGGAGGGGCTCAGCCTTTATAAATGATAGCATATAAGCCAGAGCCACTTCTCTGAGACTTATTGGCTCTCCTTTCTGTCCCTAATGAGGCACTTGCAGTAGTGTTTTGGCTGTTGGACACCTATAGCTCTCTGTCTTCTCAGCAATGGCCAGTGTTTGGGTCCAACTTTCCTTTTTGACGAAGTCATACACTGGAGTTTGGCCTTATGATCTACCTACTGATAAAGATGAAAATAGCCTTGGTCATGTAGCTCAGGTAAATTGCAACCAGTTCCCTCCCAAATTCAGCCTTCATCATCTGTTCCAAGGCCCAAAAACAGCTGGCATGTTTTGACAGGTGCTGCTAGCCCACAAGAATGTGCATTTCTCTGTGTGATGCCTCTTCTCTTTCCTTCCCTACATCCTATAGGCAGGCAGGAAAGTATTCAGCTATGCTGTTTGAGGCTTCTAGATATTAAAGTTTTTTAAAAAAAACAAAAAACAAAACTTAAAAGAGGCATAAAAGCAAAAGTACATCAGCTTTTCTTTTCTTTTCTTTTTTGAGACAGAGTTTTGCTCTTATTCCCCAGGCTGGAGTGCAGTGGTGTGATCTTGATTCACTACAGCCTCTGCCTCCTGGCTTCAAGCAATTCTGCCTCAGCTTCCTGAGTAGCTGGGACTGCAGGCACCCACCAACATGCCTGGATAATTTTTGTATTTTTAGTAGAGATGGGGTTTCACCATGTGGCCAGGGTGGTCTTGATCTCTTGAACTCGTGATCCACCTGCCTCGGCCTCCCAAAGTGCTGTGATTACACTCCCAAAGTGCTGTGATATGAGTCACCATACCCAGCCATACATCAGTTTTTCTTACCTCCAACATTTATGCTGGTTTTTCTCAGTTACATAAGTTACTGTTTTATTTATAGAAACCTGTCACCTTTCCTAGTTCTTCTATCCATAGGCAAAGCTGTCCTGAAAGTGCCCTCAGCATAGCCCGGTTTAACCCTGAGCTGGGAAGGGCTTTCACTGTTTCCAGTGACTAATCTTCAGGGTTTTCCTTTCACATCCCATAAACCTGTTTAGCTAAATTTCAGTCTTAAGTACATAAAATCATAATTATGATTGAGGGCATGTGTTCTCTTTCCAGGTCCACAAGGGGTGTAGTTTCTAGGGCAAGAACTTCCCAGTGCCATGCCCCACTCCCACCTCTGTCCATCCGGAGATTTAATGATGCAAGGGCGGGAGAGGGTCAAAAGTCACTCACTCACTCCAGGGGAAGTTTCAAGGAACTTTTTTCCTTGGCCGGTGGGTGGGAGGAATTCCTTTCAGGTTAAAAGTCCTTGTCCCCACACCCGGCCAGATTTCCCCTCTGGAGTCCCCTTCCACATTCTTCGTGGAAGTTTTCTCTCTTCTCCTTTTTCTCTTTCTCTACCTAAATAAAATCACTTTCTGTAAACTCTGTTTGGAATCCGGTATTTTACTTCACGAATGCACCCGCTGCGGTCCCCTCTCCCATTCTTGAGAAAGCAGAAGACCAAGAACCTTGGAGAAACGTCCTCTCAGGGGAGCTGAGTGCTCCCCTGAACCTCAAAACCTGGAAACATGATAACGTAATAATGAAGCAGCAGCAAGAAAGACTGAATTTAATTATTAATGAAACAATAAATAACCCAGCAGAGTAAGGGAATGGAGTTACACATTTAATTTAATCCTTATTTAAATCCAAAGTGTGAGGCAAAATGTAATCATTTCCTTATTCTTACTAAAACAAAGTATTCTAGCCACCAGGAACGTTCACACTCCCTTTACAAATGTTTATTTTAATCTCATTATAAAAGCATATTGTTTTAAAAGGTTTTTATTTTATGTATATATGTATGTATTGATTTATTTTGAGATGGGGTCTTGTTCTGTCACCCAGGCTGGAGTGCAGTGGCTCGATATTGGCTAACTACAACCTCCACCTTCTGAGTTCAAGAGATTCTCCTGCCTCAGCCTCCTGAGTAGCTGGGATTACAGGCATGTGCTACCATGCCCTACTAATTTTTGTATTTTTAGTAGAGATGAGATTTCACCTTGTTAGCCAGGCTGGTCTCAAACTCCTGACGTCAGGTAGTCCCCCACCTTAGCCTCACAAATTGCTGGGATTACAGGCATGAGCCATTGTACCTGCCTTTAAAAATGTTTAGTATAAAGCAAAAGGGAGGAAGTAATCACCTGTGTTCCTGCCAATTATCAGTGTTAACATTTAAATAAGTACACAGCCAGTCTTTTTACTGTTCACATCAATCTCTCTTTTACAAGACTGCAGGGACAGTGTGGTTAATCAGCCATGCTTATCTCTGTTTTTAAATTAGTATTTAATATTTATGTAGCTTTATAGAGTTCATTACATAAAAAAACTAAGTATCTCAGTTTAAAAAAAAATCAAGGCTGTTTTGTACACTGAAGAGAAATGTAAGACTTGACATTGATATTTTAGTACAGAAGAAAGAGGTCACATGTCTAGTTCCAAATCAAAGAAATAAAAAATTGCAAAATAAAATTTAATTATCATATGTTTGTATTTTTCTTGTTAAATTTAAAGATAAATTGTTATCTTGTTATACAATTATACTATAGTATAATTATCTAGTAGAGTAGTCCAAATTAACATAAGATCACTTAACCATTTACTAATTGATGGATATTTACTGTTAGAAGTGTTTCACATGGATAAATCACATGCTATATAAAAATATGTGCACAAACTCTTTATTGGTTTTCTTCTTTTTGAATTATACCCCTGGAGTAAATTGTCAGAAGTGTCACTTGTGTAGTCAAAGGATATAATCATGTTTATACTTCCCATATTTCAAAAATGAAATACTACACTAAAAAATGTGTGTTCTCCAACATGAGCTGTGTAATAAGAATGTGGTAGGTGTTTCATTGAATTTCTATGCCAAAACAAGTATTCCACTGGGCTTCCTTTGTTAAAGAAAGGGATTAAAGTTAATAATACTTTCCCCACATCAAGGGTAATACTTTCCCCACATCAAGGGTAATACTCCAAAACAAGGATTATACTGCAGCCAGCCACCCTTGTGGTTTTATTATAGTCTTCAAACTTTAATATCCTGAAGTCAAGGATTATTATACCAATTGCAAGTGATATTGGATATCTATCTGATATTTTAAGGTATGCTTTAAATTTAATGCAGGGATTAAAAGAATGAGACTTTGACTCAATTTAGTTATTTACAGGAAACCAGCATTTTTGGCTCCAGAATCCCTGTAATTTTAGCATCCTTAGATTTACTGTTGTTGATGTAAAGATTTAATATAATGAGAATTGGAATTCTCCATTAATTTCTTTTCATATTGATTCCCAAGGTTTGCAATTAACAGCATAAAGATGGAATGCAGCAAATCCTTCCTGAAGTGAATTGAGAAACTCAAAGGAGTACTTAAGAACCTTAACAGTGTGTACTGTGACGGCCATTGTTTGTTTGATTTTACTGCACATGGTTTTACCAACATATGGAACAGTAAATATCTGTGCCAGTGGACAGGACTCTACCTTCGCAAGTTGCTCCCTTTCTAGGGAGCACATACATATAGCAGAGCTCATAGTGAGTCAAAACATCTCCACTTTCTGAACCTAGCTCTGTAACAGTGATTGGCAAACTTATCTAACTGGAACTCAGAATAAGAAATAAGGATTACATCACAATCCAATATATGTAGAGTTCATTTGTGTGTGTGTATATATGTTGTGTGTATATGTGTGTGCAATACATACACACATCAAGTATCACAAGACATTGACCATATATATTATGCACTGTGGTATTTTTCCATCTTTAATTTTAAAAAATATATTGATTGCAACCAAGGTTTGAAAAATGTTGCTCCATACCATTCCATACCAACACTCACCACCTGCAAATAATAGCATTACTAAGAGCTGCAGTCACATTAAATAAATCAACAATTTGCTGCAAGATCAAGATCATTTGTGTATTTTGTTGTATGCGTTTTTTTTTTTGTTTCTTTGTTTGTTGTTTTTTGTTACTGTTTTGGTTTGGTTTGGGTTTTGCATGTACCTAATACCATTGTTGAGACTTTGTTACGAACAGGGTTTGTTGGTTTTTTGTTGTTTTTTTCTTTTCCCATAGTGGTTCATTTTGTTTTTGTCAAACCAGTGGTCTAACATCACAGAAATAAGCAGTTATTTCAATCATGTGAAATTCAGGGGACCTATCTTTGGAAAGCAAAGGTGGAAGATCTGAATTGTGTGATCTCTTAGGGCTGCTTTCAATGCTGGAATTTAAATTATGTACTGAACAATATTTTGCTTATTATAAACAAAATGATTGCACACTACCATCTCAATCTTTATAAATATATTGTTGTATTAATCATTCTCTACAAACTCATTCAGTCAGCTCTCATTATTTCTTTATTTGTAGCTAGCTTGCACTCAATGATGACTGGACAGTTTTTTGGATCCCACACACTACAAAAAATACAAAAACAAAACCTAGGCACAAATTACAGTTCATCCACTCAGTAACCATCACTTCAATCAAGCTATTTAAAGTCTTAGTTTTCTCTTTTTAAGATGGAGAATATCAACAGTATTTAGAATGGGTATAGGGTAGAATGAGGATAAAGTTCAAATTTTTAATGTGGCCTCCAGGGCTGTCTCTGATCTGGATTCTGTGTACCCCTCTACCCTCATTTCATGTGGGAACTGGATCATATAGTCACTTCTCTCTGAAAGGGAGACTGGGAAGATGTCATGATAGTTTCAGACCAATTGTGACTCCGCCTTGGGATGTTGCCACTGAACAATATCAAGGATCTTTTAGGGAAGAAATAGGAAAGCACTGAGGATGCCTACTACAGCCTTTTCCTGCATACCTTCCCTGGCCATGATTTTATGAAGCGTGGGTTGCTAAAATTTGTGTTATTAATACAGTAGGAGAGGTTTTTTTTGTTTTGTTAGGATAAAAATATAGATATTATTAAATTTCACTTCTAAGAATTTCTTAGATGCCCTCTTCTCCCCCTCCCCACTGCAAAGGCATGGCACTGCTGAGTAAGAATCATCAGTTTTCTCCCCATTTCAGTATACAAAGGTCAGAGAAAATATCTTTATCTTGCAAAAAACAAAAGAACATTGAAAAGGAACATTCCAGTAATTTTGGGAAGAAATAAGTATCTTTTTGCTCACTAGTATCAGTGAGAAATAGAAATTTGAAATAAGAATACCAGTGCTTCATTTCTGCATGTACAATGATTCACATTACAGTTACTCTTTATTAGAGGAGTTAATGGTGGTACTGTTTTCTGTTTAGAAAGATAAAATATATATTTGACAAGGAACAAATCTGCTGAAGTCTTCACTTTCTCTGCATAAATAACCCCAATCCTTTTAAGAAGAGTTTGCTATAGGAAGGCTTCATTGTGTTTAGTATTAAATTAAACGTGGGGTTGATTTCAAAAGTTTGAAAGACACATAGAATATTACACTAAAGAATGCGATTCAAGCCAAATAGTTTATCTTTTAAATATATACTTGTGATATATGACAGTCACAAAATGTTGAGGTATTAGTCCAACATTATATCTGAATATTGAAACTGAAACCAGAGCTGTCCAACACCATGCAAATAGCTGGTGACAGGACTAGGCCACAATCCTGACATTATGCAAGCATGCACATATTTTTCATTTTAGACAAAGAATGGCAGAAAAATGCTGCTAGAATACATCATCTCCCCTGCCCTATTTTAAGGGAGCAAATCAAGGAGCCTAGAAAGGAAAGAACTGTGACAGGGAATCATGAAGCTTTCTGTTCTGCACTTTTGGAGCCTAGTTAAGGATGCAAGCCAGCTAACGAGGTTATCCATGGTGTAAGAAACAGTGGTGAGGTCTTGGAACTCCATGCTATCATCTGGCTGTGTTGACCTGTGGTTTGTGGCTCTAGCTATTCTTTCAATATGCCATCAATGGTGGGGAATTAAGAAAAAGCAGGCCAGGTGTGGTGGGTCAAACCTATAATCCCAGCATTTTGGGAGGCCGAGGCGGGTGGATCACATGAGTTCAGGAGGTGAAAACCAGCCTGGCCAATATGGTGAAACTCCATCTCTACTAAAAATACAAGAATTAACCAGGTGTGGCAGCATGCATCTGTAGTCCCAGCTACTTGGGAGGCTGAGAAAGGAGAATCGCTTGAACCCGGGAGGTGGAGGTTGCAGTGAGCCAATATTGTGCCACTGCACTCTAGCCTAGGTGACAGAATGAGAATCGTCTCAAAAAAAAAAGATATGAAAAAGACATTACTCTCCTGTGCATATACAGAAATAGATGAAAATTGCAATAATAACTTTTGGGCCCTAATCAGAGTAGCATAACATGCAGATAAGAGAACACCAAAAGCAAAACTTCTTACCACAGTGAGCATAT